ATTGAATTTCACACAGCTTTGCTTCTGTCCTTTCTTTAAAATTCACACCTACCTTGGACATTCGTGGCAATGTGGCATATTGGTTATAGTGTCGAGATCATACTCTGCACTGTTATGGTTCGGGTCCCGTTGGGGGTATTGACAAGATCTAAGTGGGGTTGAAATTGTAGTCTACCCTGGATGATAATAACTTTTAGGAAAGCAAGGCTATGTGAAATTCAATGGAAATGCTATGCTTACTCATATCATTGTTGGAAAATTCAACTGACAGTCCCCTTATCACTCTAAACGAAATATGATGAATGAAAGTCATTTCCTAAAACCGCCCAAAATCCTATTCTATCTTCATTTTACTAATATTTGCCGACTTATTTCACTTAAATTCCTGCATTTATCTTCTATCACAATGACAAACCTCTGGAATCTCCCATCTAGATTCAGCGGTTCTCTGTCAGGTCTTGTTTACATCTTCGCTCTTCCATCGTTAGTTCATCTTCTCAGCCATCCGCATCTTCGGACTGCTCTTATCGCGTCGCTTTCAACGGCTGGTGGCCGAAAGTACTCCGAAACGATGCATCTCTCCACCACTGCTCTCACTTCTGTCGTCACGCTTCGTGATCCCGGTCTCACTCCCATCGCTGGCCTGCCTGCTGCGCTCTTTCACTCTACTTCTGCCACCTCTTCCAGCCGTGTCGCATCTACCTCGACGCCGATTTCTGGCACTAGGCCGGTCCTGAACAGATGCAATGCAAGCTATGGCACTGTCTCTGATTACGGCAGTCTTGGTCAGACCACTCGTTCCCCGTTGGAACCTACTACCTATCAGGATGGCATCTCAGCTGCCTCACATTCTTCACAGGCAGATTGCACCATTTCTCAAGCCCACTCCATGTCATCTTTGAAGGCTTGGACAGTACTGGTGGGGAATCTACTCATTGTGCTGTTCGGCTTAGTCAACTTTGTCATCCAGTTCATTCCATTTGGTCACTAAACATATCTGGCCTACTTTCCCAGACTGCCCACATGTCTGTCTATACTTTCACTTTTATGTAATCTATTTGGCATATTTGGCTTATAACTCATCATTACTCTAGGAGTTCTTTTTAATCCTCTTTTCGCAATTTTCTTCGATCATGGATCCAAACATTTATACTATAATCTTCTTCTTCTTCTTGACATCTTAATTGGGCTTGTAGCCTTTTCGTTTTCCTTCCTCCTCCGGCTTCCAATGTCCCCATCAATGTCTAATCAGGCCTGTTTACTCAGTTGGTGTTTTCACGAAGTCTCTTAGCTTCAACTCGGTTAATCGTTGATGCCTTCTAGTCCGCCTATTTACACACCATATTCAACTGACTGAGGCTAAGCCAGATTGGCTGAGGCAAGTCAACACTTGCGATCAAGAGAATTAAAAGTCCCCATTTCTATGCTCTTTCTTTTTCTACCATTCGCTTGAGTCGAATTCATCTGATGATCTGATTTTAGTCATCTCTCTCCAGTTTAGAGCCATTATTGCTGCCAATTTACCAACGAGTACTGTAATGCTATGCTCGTGACGAGCTTTGGGTTGCTAACGCCATCCATTCTCATCACCATCTCATTTGAACAGCTGAGGCCTTGATTTGATCTTTTTTCTTCGCTATAACCAGGCAGAATTGTTGGCATCTTTTTCATAGTTAGTGACTTGTTTTCTTTTTTCTGCATGGAAGTTGTTTAGGGACGCCTGTCTATCTTGGGCTTATGTCATACTAAATTAAGGTCGTGACTACTTCTGATGTTATTCGGCATTCTCTTCAGTAGCCAATCGCTCTTTCCACTTTCCATCGACTCTATTTCGCTTATTTACACCATTTACTTTCTAAACTTCTTCACTCTTATTTTCGATTCATCTAGTTTTTCGTCTTCCATAACCAGGTTCAACCAGTTTGGCGTACTATATTTGGCGATACATCTTGACTTTCAAAAAGAATTCGATTTTTTCGTACTAATTACCAATACGATCATAACGTTATATTATTTATTTATTTATCCATACAGAAGCATGCGATTGACTCATTTCTGAATTTATGGATATTTTGCTTTTCCTATCCACCATATCCCTATAGGCCCTTACTTATTGATTTTCTATATCTTTGTATTTTGGCAATATAATTATTTTTGCGATTCCAAACAAGTTGAGGCCGCTTCTTTAGTTAAGACATAACATATTTACTTGAGGTAATTGTACAATTATGTGGAATCACGGGTACTTGAGACAGCAATTATATCAGATTGGATAGTCTATCAGATTGGCATTCGTCCGTAGCCCAAGAGAGGTAAGTACGAAATATTGTATCGTTAGAAAAAGGTATAATATGATGCAAGGTCTTCCATACTTTGCTTAGAATTTTTAAAATGAGGGGTGGCGTTTGAAGTATGTTCGGCGAGACTCTAAATGCAAGCATCTCACGATTTTTTAAGATAGACAAATGATTCAATCTTCAGCTCATGTATAACCACATTGTAGATAAAATTAGTGCCCCCTCATATCAGTGAGGCTTCGAGTACGTCAATCATTTGGCTTAATATGTCATTATGTGACATTATGATACTGATGAGACCTAAGAGGCGTCGAATCTGCAATCTTCCCTGCATAGGAGTCTTTCGGATCACAAGATGTATTGATATATTTTATTTCGCTCCAGTCGGATTGTCTATTGGGCCTTGGAACATCAGGATAAATTTTCGTGAATCAGTTAGTATGGCGTCTTTAACCCTTTTGTGGACTTCCAGCTCTCACTTGTGTGTACGAGTGTAGGTTTTTGTAACCGTAAGCTCTAGTAACATCATTCGCTGTTCTCAAATATGTTTACATAAAAGAAGTGTGACTATTTTACGGTCAACTTTCTAACACGTACTTAAACACATATTCAATAACATGTGTTT